GACTTTATTCTTATTATTTATTTAGTTTCGTAATATTATGACTATTCTTTTAAAACACTGACTTTATTCTCATAATATAATTACTTTATTTTTCGTAATGCTATGATTTTATTTTCACAATTTAAACACAACAAATCTCTTAGCCTGGCATTAAAACGTCATCAAACCTTCCCAAAAAGCTTTTTGACAAATTAATTTCTTCAGAGCAGCAAATTTAATCAATTTTTGTTTGCTTTATCTACACAATCTCTAATTTTATATTYCCAAATCCAACAGATACAACGCAACTTCTATATTAATTTTAGGGTCCAATTGTTGCTTCTTGTGCCGACAGTGTTTAATTTCTRTAGAGTTACTGATCTACATCAGATTTTAATGTCTTGCTAGAAGTTACTCAGAGTCTGGGAATTGAGCCTACTTCAGTCAATAACTTGACTAACTTCTATATTTTTACCAGTCGTGATAAATCTGTTAACGCTCCACCCACTTCATACAAGTTTTAGTTCTTATCTTCAAGTGCACCAAGTCAGCTTCTAATCTAATATTTCTAACCTCCCCACAACACAGAAGAAACATATCAATAGAGAAATGCTTTTATGGTACTGTGTAACAAATAAACTTACACAATGAACCAGATGATTTTGTAAAGTTAATTAGAGGCGTTTGTTTGACTATGACTTATCAAAATGATTAACTGGCAGCAAAATCCTCCCCAAGCTTATGTGGCTTCCTTTTAAGTATATTCCAGCACAGCAGAAGTGCTTGTAACATGTTTTTCACTACAGCAAACAAAGCAGATGTGTGAGATTTTAAGCCAAATCGCAAATTACAGGAAATAAAACATCTAAGTCCAACTTTAGATTGCACCAAATGGGACCTGCTAAACAAAATCAGACCTCTTATACACAGCCTGAGTGGTTAAATTACCAAAAGCAGCACACACAGATGCCAAGGTTTAGTGAAAGAAACGTCAGTCAAACCACAAGCAGACAGATTTTTTTTGAACTGTTCATGGCTCTGATRACTTTTCTAAAAAGTAGCATTAAAGAAAAACTGGAGATTTTTCTGGGCGACAGCTGGATGTTGGTAAAGAGAATTAACATTAGGAGAACAGAAAGGAGGARAAAGGACTGCTCCTGTCTCATAAAGTGAATTCCTGACAAATGTGGATCAGTTTAAACATAAAGGAGTTTTTCCTTTACATTCTGAACAGAAATAAAACGTAGAGATGTGGGAGAGCAGCTATTCTGGATGCACCATTGGAGTGTAATTGCAAGGGCAGACAGGCAGAGGAGATATTCGCTGAGGAGACTAAACATCAGGCCTGATTCCAAACAAAAACCCAACCAGGCTCTCAGCGATACCACATAGCGCCACCACCACTCACGCACACACACACACACACCATTTCCCCACAGCTCTGGAGTAATGATCGGTGTCTGCATCCAACAGAAATGAAACACTGAGGTATAAGGAGCATCTATCATTCATCTGTAAAACCAGAGGCATCCTCGGGAGACCCACAGGGGTTGACTTGGGCAGAAAGCAGACAGTTCGGTGCAAATCTGAGACTCTGTGCCAACATGGCACGCAAAGAAACGACTGCTCAAGGTTCAAAACTCTCTAGGTTGAACAGACACCTCAGATTATCATTGTGCAGTTGAGTAAAACAAGTAAAACAAAGCTTAAATCCAGAAGAGTACAAGGAAAAAATAACCTCGAGGTGTATAAAAAGATAAACATTAATATTTATATACAAATGGATGGAATTGGGATGTATAGTATAACTCTCAGAATAGCATGAGAAAGAAACAAGAGCAAAGAAAATAAAAGAGATAAAAATAAAAGTAACAAGAGGGGAAGGGGTGCAGAAAGAGGGGAGGAACAGAAAAGGAGTCTGTAATCAGTTTCGTCTTGTTGTGTGTCCTAAAATAGAGCTCTCCCAGCCTATAAACAGAAACCTACTATTACTGCTGCACTGACAAAGCATGTCTCCACCAACGCACACACAGGCGTGTGTGAACACACACACACACACACACACACACACACACACACACAAGAATACAGCCACAAATACACATGGACCTCATTACAGCATGGCCTTCTGGGTAATGTGGTTCTGCGAGGAGCCCAAAGAACTACAACCAAAGATCAACTGTCAGATTAAGAAATGACTCCTCTCCGTGCAGTGTTGTCTTCAGGGTTTCCACTGACAGCCTCCTCACATCTTTGTGTAAGGAGCTGCTAACAAGAAGAGAAGAATTATGATCTTTCTTTTGTGGGTTTCATCTGGAATTTTCTGTTTTTACTTTTTTTATTGGAAAGTTAACTGAGAAGATACAAACAGGAAACCCAGGAATAGAAAAGTGGGTTTGACAACAAAGAGCCCCATCATTGCAAAAGGAC